TTGATAAACAAAACATGGAATTTTGTTTCTGCTCTGTCATCTTTTTTATCCCTTGTAGTCACTTTGGCCTTAAGAGTAATACTTCTACTTGTTTTACAATGTTTTACAGCAGTGTCTTGGCAGCACAAATGTTTTAAAATGTTTTTTTTTAAGAATTGTTGGATTACAGACTGTACTAGAAGTGCAAGGCAGAGAAAACTATCTTTGCAGCTATTTCCTTTTTTTTTAATGATTAGCATACATTGTTTTTCCACTTGCCAAGAATGCATATGGAGTTATTACCCCATATCATTGTTGGTTTTTTTTTGTTCTTTTTGTTGTTGTGTGTGTTATTTTTTTAAAGAGAATTTGCTCAACCTTATATATTATTTCCAAATGATTTAGATATGCAAAATGACAAGAATCTCTTTAATAGGGCAGAAATTGTGGCTGAGATGTAAAAGTTTTGGACAGCCAGTTCCATTCTTTGATAAAGGACAGAAACAGGTAAACAAGGAAAAAGGAGTCCTCCAGATAAAGGAACAATACCTTTCATTCTACTATATTAAGAACTGAGACTGCTCATTTGAAAGAAGAAAATAGTTTTAAAAGTGAAATGTGTGAAGAAGGCGTTCCAAAACCATTCCTATATCTATGACTGCATTCCTACCCACTGTCTGGGAAACAGGATGAACTTACAGAGTCCTTCTCTGTTACACTGGGGCTTCTCTGGGTGCTTATCCAAAGTTTGCATACACTTATTCTGGGTGGTGCCTCTTTTCCACCTACTGGCAAAGGCAACATCCTGAACTTTGCGTGCATTTTGTGAAGAACTCCCATTCAGCTCCAAGCAGGAAATGGTGGAAGCTCTGTCTCACTATTCAGGGCTGTTTCTGTTCTAATGCTGCTTCAGAGAACTACGCCCATAGCTACAGTCCTGTCTATATTCAGCTAGGATTCAGGCTCTGCTTACCCACTTTCCATCCCATCCAGTCCTCTTGTCTATACAGTGCTCTATACTCAGTAAGAAAGGAGATAAGACCTGTGCTTAAGATCCTAATGATTAAAATGTATCTGTGATGCTTGAGCTGAGAATCTAAAATTCAGGCCTCATTTGACAAGCTGTTAACAAACTTCTGCAAAAGGTGGATGTACTGCTGTTGCTGCTACCAGCTTGTTTCTCAAAAGAACTATCTCTGCTCTGTTATCATCCAGAAAAAAAGGCTGTAAGGATCTTCTGTAAGTGGAAAAGATGCTCTTAGTTCCTGCCAGTCCCCTCTGAAGTCCCTAACAACTTACCCAATGTGAGGCTATACTCTGACGGAAGCATTTAAGTTCTGTAGACAGTCACGAAAGATAAGTATACAACTAAATCAGATAGAGAGGATCTGCTCTTTCTTTGGTCACTCTTGAGGTGTGAGTCTGTAATGACTATAATGAGGAATTCTGGTGCTTTACTTCCAAGGTCAAATCATTCTCCAGAAATTATAAACAACAAAGAGAAAGTTGGTATGTAAGCTAGGCACAAGTGCTTTTTGCTATAGGATTAACAAGTTCTATCAGTGTGAAACAAAGGTACCGCTGCCTCCAGTGTGGCTCAACATGTTCTCAGTGCAGCTGAGAGAAGGAGAAGGAATGAAAATTTCATATTCAGTCTGACTCATCTGTACTTTACTGCTTGTATCTGGAATCTCAGTGACCTCCTGATTTTGAAGTTTTTCCCACTGAAAGCAATGTTTATGCATTGAGCTGCGTGGAGGAAAAGATATAGTGATATATTAGGGAATTACTTCAAATGCTTTGGCTATCCTAGATGCATTAATTTTTCATTACCTCATTAAAACAAAACAAAACAAAACAAAACAAAAGCCAACAACAAAATGACAACAAAAACATCTAAGGTAAAACTGAAGTATGTAATGAGGACATTCCAAATCAGGCAAAGAGAAGAGCAAGCATTTTCTTCTGTCAGCTATATTCTATTTATTATCAGCATTATTCTATATTCTTTTTCCTTAAAAATGATCCAGATTGTCTCCCAAATACGCCATTTTTTTTTTCTGTTCAACAGAGGCAAGATTCATTCATGGCTGAAAGCAATCAAAGTTTAGACACAAACATTTATTTTATTATTGTTATTGTTATTATTGTTATTGTTATTGTTTATTATTAAACATTTATTTATTCTGTGCTCTGTAGTTAATATTTGGTGTGGGAGATGAATTGCAAATACCAAACTGGATCTTAAATTGCTACTGACTGAATGGGAATCCCAACAAGAGAAACGGTGTACTTTGCCATGTTTATTTTCTTTTTAAACTGGTGACAAAAGAGATCTACTTTGAGTTAGTCTCACAAATGGCAGCAATAAAACACAACAGTACAAACGTTTGTCTTTTAATAGTGGAGACTCAAAGCAAACTAAGGTGAAACTAAAGCAGGGTAATTCAGATCAGGAAAGTCATCCAACTCCATAGCAGCTTGACCCTAACATAGCCCCAGAGGCAGTGCTGCAGCTGCCAGCTAGACAGCTAGCCAAGAAGCTAGCTGAGGTACAAGCCAAGACGCCAGCAACAAATCCATGTGCCAATGCAAGAAAGCTATATTCCAGAATTTGGCATCTGGGTCCTCCAGCTGCCAAACATCTTCCATCTGGCCAAATCTGTGGAATGAGGTGCTAAAAAGTAGAACGGGGTGAATTGCAAGGACTAAAATCAGAACTGTCTGCAAGACACCACGGGTGAAGAGGCATGTTATGCATACCAATATCTGAGATTCACATGTAGAATCACTTTGTGAATGGTGAAATGGTGGATCGGGCAACTTCTAGATCAGGAGAGAAAGTACAGACAAAATGCTCAGCAAATTACAGGAAAAGAGCAGTTGGTATCTCTGAACTGGAACAACAGCCTCAGTCTGCAGCCATCCATGGAAGTCAGCAGATGCTGAATGTGGGAGAGATCAGTTCTGAGTAAAACAGATTTGGTGAGCACAATAAAGAGTGGAAATCAACCTACAAAAATGTTATTTCAGGATTTGATGATGCACTCCCCTCTCCTATTGCCATGAAGAAAGTACTTGCAAATATTTTAGTACTTTCATAACTAAAATACCATAATTGTGTTATTTTGTGGAAAAAGTAGCCTTTTTGAAATTTGGTGAAAAAATGTAATTAAATAGGAAGAAATGAAAAAAGAACAGAGCTAAGGATGCATAAAATTTCACTCAAATGAAACACATCCTCAGGTAGCTGTCTTTAGTTGCAACAGAGCTCATTTCTGACAAGCAGTTACTTATTCCTAAAAGGTAATAGCTCCATACTCCAAGAAGCAAAACCAGCTGTAAGAAATACTCCCAGCAATGTAAGAAATTTTAAGTGGGCCATAGGATTTCATAATTTCAAGTGATACACTGACTTAAATATTCATCTCATTGGCTTCGCTTTTCCCGTATCACTTTGCAGATAGTCCACATGGTCTAAATGAGGTTTGACAGATGTGACCTTAAACAATTTGCTCCATTATTTAAAAAAGACAGAGAAGTCCCTGTATCTCTATTCCAAGTTTATGGCTTTATTTGCCTCGTGAAAATATTGAATTTCAGTCTCATCTCGTGCCAGTCAAGCCAACAAATGTGCAGCGGCAGAGATGGTATAGGAAATGTTTCACACCATCTCCATCTACTTATAACTAGGCATGCTGTTCAGGGGACTTATTATTAGGATCTCATGTCCTCTGTTATGGTATGTGTAAATTCACAACTGTTTGAGCAAATTATTGACAACATAACAGACTTGGACAAAAAGAAGTTGCTGCTACTACTTTGAAAATGTTTGTGTAACAAGATCTTGCATTTTTTTAATGTAAATACACAAGTTGTAATGGAATTAACTGCAAATTAGTGACATGAGTAGATTTGAGGAACGATTTCTGTATTTGACTACTCATTAGCAATTTGAAAGCATAATTGCTCTTAAACATGCCATCTTCTTAACTTTCTTACGAAGATTAGATGTACTTGTAAATGTGAAGAATTACTTTCCTGCAGCAACTTATTTGCCTACAGTGAATGAATGAAGTTGTTTCTCCTTTGGTAGTCCACAGATAGGTGGTCCATACTCTTATATTAAGAGTTGATGGGTTTACACTTGTCACACAATAAAGCAACCCCAAAGAAATCTTTTCAGAGGCCCATAAAACAAAGGAAGGGAGAAGGACAAGTAAACAAGCAAACACACTAAGAGTGGACATTTCATTGCACACTATTTTAGAACTCACTAAAGCTAGAGCGATGAAACCAACAGAACCAATAACCCTATCAGCATTCATATCCTTGTTCTGCCATATATGCCACATTTGTGCAGGTAAGGTGAACACGAGACATTCTGTAGTGTTAAAAAGTGTTACAGACTTGCTGGAACCTCCCACTAGATTTGGCTGTAAACTCCGCACTCTTCACAAGGGTATCTACTGAACATATCACATAGTAAAGTTTTAGATTATTGGCATCCTCAAAAAAACCCAAAAACAAACAAACAAACAAGCCAACAACATAAACCCTAACAAACAAAGGGTTGTTTGCAAATATCTCCTCCTGCATTTTACAGCTTTGCTTGTCTGCTACTTTGTGGTAACTGACAATGATCCATTAGAACCTAAGTTATCTAGATCCACAATGACCATCTATAAAGCAAGGTATTACTCAGCTTCAGTAAGCTATTTTGGACATTTTCAACTGCGTTATCAAACTTGAGGTAGGATTCTTTTCTGCTATTACCGTTTTTTTAATTTATTTGCTAGGATAAGGGAAAAAAATACCCCTACAGTTTCCCACAATGCACAGCACCATCCTCCCATCCCCAGAGAATAAAAACCAAAACTGAAGATCAACTTTGGACCTTGCCCAACCCCACATATTCCCCAGCCATGGCATAAAGAGGGAAATAAAGTTGAAAAGTACTGCTACTAGACTTTTGTCAATACAACAGAACATTATATAATACACAATAAAATGCTTCATACCTGGAGTTGAAAAAACGAAAAGGGTTAGCAGCTGACCTGGCACAGCCCCACATGCTCTCTCTGGAAATTGAACACAGACAATTAGGAATTTTAAGTTATCCCAAACAATTGCAGGGAACTTAGACAAACTTGGGGAACACTTACTGCAAAGTAAGCAAAGAGCCTCACCATGGAAGGGACTCAGGATTTTCCCACTTAAAACTCCTCCTTAAACTAAAAATGCTCTGTAGAGCTCCCAGCTCATACCTAAGCAAGTCATTAAGAGCTCTGCCATTAATTTGCATGGGAGCAGAGTTAAGGCTTAAGGGCCCAGGTGTCATTTGGTTGTCATTCCAGATCATGGTGAAACACGTTTTCTCATTAAAAAACAATAAGTGACCAAGAAGAAAACACTAATGAGAATTTAGAGCAGGCAGATAATGCACGAAGAGGAAATAGAGGCTGGAACAAGCGTCCTCTCTAAAAATCTGCTGCTTCATTATTCCCAAGGTATCATAGAAAAAAACTAGCCATAAACGCTCTTTATTTAAAAGTGAGATTCCAAGGAAAACAGATAATGTGGTAGAATACTATCTGGAATATCGAACAATACAAACATACTACATAATAGCTATGTAAGCCCTTACACTGTGATTTGGACATGAACAGTCCTTTTTTACTACAAACCCTGATCTACTGTATGTGCCCAAACAAGCATCAGGCAGCTGCCTTTCTGAAATAGTTTCATAATATTAGGGGATAAAGCATAAAGCCAAGTCCATGAATAACCCCCTTCAGTCCTTCCCTCTGTAGTTTAGATCTCAAATGTACCGTGAGGCCAACATCCAAGAAGCCAACTAAAATATCAGAATAATAACCTAAACTATAAAAAATGTTCTAGCACACTAGCAGTTGAATGCATGTGCACTGCAAATATTTTGGATCCTTTACAGCAATTACTTAGAATGGCCAGGTTGGCATGGTAGTTGTTGAAAGCGAAAAGGAAACTTTCAAAGTGACTTCTCTTGTTTCATGCTCTTTCCTGTGGCCTAACCTGGCATCTCAATGTTTAGAAAGAATCTTTTCCCCCAAGATTTTGCACTGCATCCTTCAAACCTCTCATGCTTCCACATTTTGAAGTGTACAGTAAATATCTGTCTTCTCCACTGTTTGATTTTGCAATTTCTTAAATGATTCATTTCTGATAATGACAGAAATCTGCTACTGAAGTGACAATATGATGCAAGGAATCTCCATAGCAAAATCAGCTCTATCACAATGTGACATTCCTTTCCCACTCTTTTTCCAACCTGACTTTCTGCATTCTTCAGAAGCATATCTGAGGTATGTGTCCCATCAAATCACCAGGTACAGACTTTACTTTACAACTGCACCAGCTCACAATCAGAATCACCAGACAATATCACTCCCACTCCATTAGCCTTCAACTGAAATGAATATGTACAGGAGAAATGGAAACTGGAAGCTATAACATTCACAGAATCACAGAATCATGGAATCACGGAATTGCAGGGGTTGGAAGGGACCTCCAGAGATCATCGAGTCCAACCCCCTGCCAAAGCGGGTTCCCTACACCAGGTCGCACAGGTAGGCATCCAGGCAGGTCTTGAACATCTCCAGAGAAGGAGACTCCACCACCTCCCTGGGCAGCCTGTTCCAGTGCTCCGTCACCTCACTGTAAAGCTGTTCTTACACACATTTGTGCAGAACTTCCTATGCTGCAGCTTATGTCTGTTTCCCCTTGTCCCGTCTCCACTCACCACTGAAAAGAGACTGGCCTCACCACTGTGGCCACCACACCTTAGATATTTATAGACCTGGATCAGGTCCCCTCTCAGTCTTCTTTTCTCAAGGCTGAACAGACCCAGTTCACTCAGCCTTTCTTCATAGGAGAGATGCTCCAGGCCCTTCACCATCTTTGTGGCCCTCCGCTGGACTCTTTCCAAGAGATCCCTGTCTTTTTTGTACTGGGGAGCCCAGAACTGGACACAGTACTCCAGATGAGGCCTTACCAGGGCAGAGTAGAGGGGGAGGATCACCTCCCTCGACCTGCTGGCCACGCTCTTTTTAATGCACCCCAGGATGCCATTGGCCCTCTTGGCCACAAGGGCACACTGCTGGCTCATGGCCAACCTGTCGTCCACCAGGACACCCAGGTTCCTCTCCGCAGAGCTCCTCTCCAGCACCTCATCCCCCAATCTGTACCAGTGCATGCAATTATTCCTCCCCAGATGCAAGACTCTACACTTGCTTTTGTTGAACCTCACCCAGTTTCTTACTGCCCAGCTCTCCAGCCTGTCCACGTCTCGCTGAATGGCAGCACAGCCTTCAGGCGTGTCAGCCAATCCTCCCAACTTTGTATCAGCAAACTTGCTGAGGGTGGCCACTATCCCCTCATCAAGGTCATTGATGAAGACGTTGAACCACTGACCATTGTTGACCATTCTCTCCCATGTCAATTTATAATAATCTTTCAATTCTCTTCAGGTCTTAGTGGAAAAATACCTATTCCCACAGCTAATACAGACAGCAATACATTACCCAGAAATCATGATTCAATTTTGTATAGTTCTTTTCATAACACTCCATTTTTAACATATAAGCAACGGGGTAAACAAAATTACTGCTGATGAGGATGAGAAGTATTTGCATGTTGAATTTCTGGCAATGGGAAATTCTGGTAAGAACAACCAGAAAAATCTATCTTCCCAACAATCCAAAAGACACCTAACGCTCGTGTTCCTCTTTGTTTGGCCTCAAGGCCAAGTGGCTGTGGCTCACAAGTGAACACAACTCACTATGAGATGGCGAATGAGTTTCCTGCCCCACCTGTTTACCATACACTCACTGTGCCAATATCTGAATGGGACAAACAGAGATTACAAGTCAATTCTTCAGAGTAAACTGTACCTTAAAATACCATTCAGAAAATTGTGGAGGGGTTTGGTAGGGCAAAGACCAGCATTAAACTGCTTGCCTATGCAGAGAAGCATCCTGTATAAGCAGCTTTGTACTCACCTCCCACTGCTCTGACCTTGAAGAAGTGCCCAACTCTTGATTCTGGGGCTTGAAGCTTTTCTTTGCTTTGGAAATGACTAAAACAGACTTGACAACAGCATAATCAGCATAAAACAGGATCCGTAATAGTCACTTTCCAATCCAAAATACCAGTGTAGGAGAAAAAAGAAGAGGAAAAGGATGTTGTGAAGCCGCTCCTAGATATTTTTCATGTCCTAGCTTTGCATTCGCTAATTGGCAAACATAGGTATCTGGCTTCCGAAGTTAGTGTGCTAACTGCTGTGTCTGTATGCCAGATGTGAGCGCTCACCACCACTGCCACTGGTCATCATGGTATTGAAATGAATGGATCCCCTCTTGGGAGATATAGAATGGGTTTTAAAACAAGTAGAAGTAGATCAGCTCTGAACAAAATGCTTGTTCTCTCATTTGCCACCATGGGAAGATGGCACTGCAGACCTTTCTTCTCCAAACTGTGCCTTAACAAACAGCTACAAGTCAGAAGCTCAACAGAGAGTAGAGATGACAATAGCCACACACCTAGCAGAGAACTAGAGCATTTAATACTTCACTGATGATGTTAAGAGAGTGCTGATGCATTTGTGTAGATGCTCTAAAACACTTCTGGAGCCAAACACCTATTTTATAACTTTACAACGCCTTCACCAAGCCCCCTTAAAGCAGACAAAGCACATCTCATCTCAAGTGCCTGTGTTGTTATGGTTCATCCTAGTTCTGAGTACATGCAGTGTTTCATGCATATTGCAAGCACACAGGACTAGTGGTACCTCTATGCCACACAGTATATTAACAGGCATGCTCCCATTACAGAACTGTACTTGGTAGTGTTCTCTACTTGGTAGGTAAAGCTATGAAGATTCAAATACATTCTCAAGCAAGAGGAAAAACATTTAGTTTGACTTTACCTTAATAGTGGCTAAGAAACTCAGAAATGATGTGATGATACCAAGTCAGGAAGGGGAAGTGCTGATTGCAAAGGGAATCAACTGCTTCAGCTGAGTAAATCATCATTAATATACAAATTACTAAGAAACAGCATCCTACTCCTCTGCTTTTGAAACCTTTTTGATTGAGGTTTGTGTAAATTCAGTCATTATTCTAGCTCCTCCTGTGAACTTACTGTGTGAAGCTATTTACCTGACAGCTTTCTGGTTTACATTGCAGTATCCCAATCCTATGCTAAACATTGAATCTTTGATGCAAATACTTGAGAAAAATATTTTGAAAAGATCAAAATTCCTACTAACTTTTAACAAGTGAATAAATGCAACTATTTCTTTTTGTGCCTGCTGGTAGGTCCTATTCCTATCCAGTTTATTACATTTTTAGGCTCTGTTTGCAACATTGGAGGTTTCCATATGCAGCAGATTGCGTAGACAAGCCTCATGATGAGCATTTTTCAGGTCAGTCTCTGACCTCAGTGCCTGCCAGCCCACTCCACTCTGCTTGAGTTTAGATACAGACTAAGGAAGAGTGGTTTTACCACTTCATTCCACATTTGATGCCTCTTTTGTTTGCAATGGTTGTAACAAAGAAGGTGTCCACCTCAGCTCTGTCATTTGTGACTACTGCTACTTCTGACACACCACAGGATCAGATGTTATCTCAGCTGTGGGTTTGCTTCACTTCTTATTTCAACCATCAGTTCATTTTGGCTAGAGTAACTTCATATGCTTAGTGCCATGAAGCTCCAATTAGCCCTCCCTTGAAGTGCCCAAAACAGTAATGGTCGTGTCCTCAGCCACATGCACATGAAAAATGACACTTCTTAGGCACAAGGTCTCAGCACAGAAATTTCTTCCGTATCCATTATCCAGGATTCTCCTTTCACTCTTCCTTACCTGAAGCCTAAAAAGAATTTGCTGTGAGAAAAGAGGTAGTGGTGGAGTCAATCTTAGAGAAACAGGACTAATAAAGGGAAAAACTGGACATTGTGAAGAAGGAAAACAGCAGAAAAAAAAAGCATTGTTCTTCTGTAAGATTCCTGTACTTACACACTTTATCATGCCCAGCTAACCAGT